GTGAAAAAATACTGAACACAGTTAATCATCATGGAAATGCAGATCAAAACTGAAATGAGATATAACCTCATACCTGTTGGAATGGCTACTATCAAAAAGAAAATAGATGGGCTGGGGATTTAGCTCAGTGGTTCCACCACTTACCTCACAAGCGCAAGGTCCCGAGTTTGATCCCCAGTACCAAAAAAAAAAAAAAATAGATAACAAGTTTTGGCAAGGCTGTGGATAAAAGGAAACCCTTTCATACTGTTAGCGAAATGTGAATTACTACAATCATTAGGGAAAACAGTATACAAGTTTTTCAAGATATTAAAAAAACAATACTGCCACTGGAACCAGCAATCCACCTATTGAATATATACACAAAGGGAATAAAATAAGCATCCTAAAGAAATATCTTCAATCACATGTTTACTTTAGCATTACTCATGTTACCCAATATATGGAATCAACTTAATCTTTCATCAATAGATAAATAGATCAATGAAATAACATTCAGCCTTTAATATGAAGAAAATTGTTTTACTTCTGACAACAGAAGTTTGGAGAGCATTATGTTAGGTGAAATAAGCCAGGCACAGAAGAAGAAATGCTGTATCATCTCAACTATATGTAAATGCTGTGTTGTATAATCGTAAATACTGACTAATCCAGAGCTCGTGGTCTTAGCCATGACAGAGCTAAGATCAGATGGTCTTTAGCCAGGAGAGAACTAAAGATCAAGCCCCCAAAAAGTAATAAAACCATTGTTTGTTCTTCTCTATTCTTTTTTCTTCGTATATTATTCTTTTATCACCAGCTGCCCCCCCCCCCCCATCAGGCTATTGAGCATCCCCCGGTAACTGGTCGGGCTGTCAGTCCTGACAGCTCAATTTTTTAGTCCCCGTTTAATATGCACAATCTGCTGTGTTGGATACCTAGAAAAGAAAAAAAAAGTGTATTTAATTTAACTAATGAGCACCAGTTTTCGTGTGGTAGGGCGTCAGCTAAATCATGCATAGTATTTTAGAGCACAGATTCTGCACTCAAAGTGCTGGGTTAAATTCCTTGGTAGCCATGTGTCCTTTCACAATTATTCAATTTCTCTGTGTCATGTTCTTTATATGTGAAATGAATGTGACTTTATTACGGACAGCTCAGTTAGATAGAATTTCACATGAAGTCAGAGAGGGACTGAGCTCTGAGAAAGCACAGAAGATGAAGAACACCATAGTATTAGAAATAAGTCAAGGTGTTGAGGGTCTTAATTTTTTTCAGAGGAAACCAAAATTCATGTGTGGTGTTGTAAGGAATAAAAAGATATAAGTGACAAGGATTGCACTCTCCGAAACGCTTCCATTTGGGCACACTAAAAATATATGCGCATAAGACTGGGGACAGTTCAGAGGTAGAGCACAGGATAGTGTTCATAATTTTCTGAATCTAAGCTAGCATGAAAAATGCACAGGAACTAGTTGCTAATCCGTAGTATCGAGCAGGGGCACATGTGTAGCAGACCATCTGCAACAGGGTTTTCAAGCACAGCACTAGTGACATCTGCGGCCAGTGTTCCCTTCTGGGAGGCGTCATGTATGTTGGGTGACACTGATTAACATCCATGTCCCCTACCTACACGATGCTAGTAAATAATCCTCATGAATGATGTCATGACCAAAACAAATAAATTTTGTTTTCCAAAAGTTTTCCAATATGCAAGTAGCACGATGAGATCTCATGTGAACTTTCTCCATCATCCATGTCACTTCACATCATGACAAAAAGGACCAGCAAAGTAGGTGAAACTTTCTGAGAACACCACATTCACATGAATGTGAATGCTGTTATTAGAACACTGTTCCAGCATTAAGTGCCATTATTAATCTCTACCTGTACATAATTTACCAATTAAAATGTATCATAGGCAAGTATGTATAGAAAAAAGCAATATATATTGCACTCTCTGGGGATCTTTTCATCAGCCACCCATGGTGCAAAATGTAGACACTAGCTCAAAAGTTTACAATCACAGTTTTTTTTTGTTTTTTTGGTTTTTCAAGAACCATGTGGATGTGTCTGGAGATTTTTTTTTTCTAATGATATAAAAGGGGGAGTGGATTTCACTGGCACCTTCTATATTTAGGCCAAGGATGATGCTAAATTGTTAAATATCATTCAGTGAACAGGATATCCTTCAATACAAATAAATAATTTTCTGGTATAATGACAGGATTGATTAGCTTTTTTGGTTTTGATTATCAACTGAGTCTCTACCCTCTTTCCCCTTTCCACTGAGCCAATGGATGGGCTTAATCTTTCAACTCAATTGCCAATTAAACAGACAAATAATTTTTACAAGTTCCACTTTTTAAGAGTTTCTTGGTCCTTCTGGATTTCTGATCATTCCCCATCAAAAAACTATGAAAAGTTCCCCAGGCGCTAATTTTTTTTTTTTTTTTTTTTGGAACTGGGAATCAAACTCAGGAACTTGTGCTTGCGAGGAAGGCAGCAGAACCACTGAGCTAAATCCCCGGCCCAAACCATGTTTTTTTTTAATAGCATAAAATACAGAATTTTCACTTAAGAGGTTTCAAGAGCCTGAGAAATTTGTGTACCAGAATTCCTAAACTGTGATCCAGTACTGTAATATTCTATGTGTTTTCTCATAATTCCTGTAGCATGACAGGCTGCGGAGAATAACCAGAATAAATCTGTTCCTAGAATTCAATTGAAATATCTCTATATTCATTGTAACACAATTTCTAATCAATAAGTGAAATAGTTATGTGATTGAGCCTCCGGCAAATTAATACTTAGGTCAGTTACACTGTTTGAAAGGGAGAAGTATTTAGGATGCTTAGCATTTGGCTACAGAAATAACACAATCGATCAACAGTGTTGTAAGGGAATCAAGAGATGCTTTTAATAAGCTCATCAAAATATGTAAAACCCTAGGCACAGAGCAGCCTGTGACAACTTTCAAGTGGAATGGTGAGGAAACTACTGAACCACCAGAAAAAGTGAACAATTTACATTTGACTAGATGTCTCTATACATTTTGTCATGTGGAAATGCTTCATGGCATCTTTGTTTCCAATAAGTAATAGTTCTTGCATGGTTTAAATCCACATTCAGTATTTTAGAATAGTCCTTTTCTACTTCCTAAATAAGTACAGAAGAAAAGCAAGGACTCTCCTGGTTTTAACTCAAAGACTTGGTTTGATTATATGTTGATATCAACAAGGTACAGAGCAGTGAAATATAGATGACACATGTGTAAACAGTATTGAGGGGGGCTGGGGATTTAGCTCAGTGGGGCCGCCGCATGCCTCACAAGCGTAAGGTCCCGAGTTCAATCCCCAGTACCAAAAAACAAAAAACAAAACAAAACAAAGACAAGTACTGAGGGGTTTGTCTTTTCAGGGGTTCTTACTGGTTACTATGGATGCTCCTTACAAAGTACTCTTGATGTGCAAAGTGCTGTTGGGGTCACACTGAAATAGTATATATAAAGGAAATCTGCAAGGAGCAGTCCTAGATAAAATCCATTTATATAGAATTCTGAAGAAAGACTGGTGCACTTGACAGTTTATTTTGTTCAGACACAAAATATTAATTGTATTAGTTTTTTGGGGGAGGCAGGGGTTGCAGTTACAAAATGCCTAACATGAAGACCGTAAGAATAAAAATATTATTTTAACTCATGACTTCCGAGAATGAACTCTTGTTATCTGTCTCCTATGCAGAAATATTATAGTGGAAGGAAATATAGAGAGAAAGGGAACTACCACACCAGAACCAGGATGCACAGAAAAAACAAGTACCTGAAAGAGGGGTACAGTCCTTCATGTCACACCCCTATGACTCAACCAGACACACCAGAAATGCTTTAGTAATATCGTACTTCTCTAAAGTCAAACAAGATATTAATCAAGAATGTCACATGACTTCAGGTACTGTTTTCCTTGTAGAAATATTAATATATTGAAAGATGGAGAGGTTTAACCATGAGGAAGGAAAAACAGAACAGGGGAGTTTACAGGCTGAATTCTGTACGTGTCCCCACCTCAACACCAGGCATGATGGAGTGTAGGGATTACATTTCAGCAATCATTCTGGCCCTCTTGCTTGGGAATATATTTGCCTTCACATTTCAGGTTTTCTTTGTGACCCTGGATAAGATAGGTTGCGAATCTGACACATTTGAAATGTTTGCTGTTTTCTTTAATCTTAACTCCTTTGCAGAATACTGTTATAATTTACTTTATTTCTTCAATAATTGTATTCCTTTTTTGTCATATATTTATTTTCTTGTCTTGAAATGGTTAAATTGAGAGTGTGAGGAAACTTGTCCACGCAGCCAGTAGCTACCTTATTCCAAATTTTTGACATCACACCACGTCAGACCCTCCTCTCTCCATTGCATTGTGTCCTGGCCTTGCCTGCACTCCTGACTTTCTCTCACGACTGTGCTTTCTCCACGACATATTAATTCTGGAGCTCTCTTAGCACCTTGTGCGTCCATTCTGAGAAGCAACACAAAGGAAGAGCCCAACGAGTCCAGCCAGAAGTCAGGAGTAGCCCGGGGTGATGTATGTCTCTAATCCCAGCACTGGGTTGTCTGATGCCGGAGGATCACAAGTTCAGGGCCAGCCTGGGCTACAGAGTGAGTTCAAGAACAGCCTAAACTACACAGCGAGACCTTGTCTCAAAACACAAAACAAAATCAAGCCAAAAAAGACAGTGGGAAAGCCTGAAGAATCAGGAGCAAACTCCGCTTAAATTCAATTATCCCTCAGGTTAGGACATCTGGGAGAGCCGCCGCTCTAGAAGTCTGAGTCACAATCCGCTATTTGAGCTCCGCTCACGCAGGTAGGGATTCGTCTCTGTTGTCACTCTCGGCTCAGGGGGTTGGCAACGAGCAGCAGCCAATCACTGATTAAGAGGCGGGCATTGAGGCAGGAGCCAATCACTAAGAGGAGGCCGTATGAACTGTCCAATCAGGTGGGAGGAAGGAGGGCTCTTCCGGCGTCATGGCGCCGCAGTCAGCACCCGCCCCGCGTTGCGGAGAAACATACCGTCGGTCGCGACCTTTCTCTTTGACTTCTGTCGGCCCTGGGCTGCGTGGGAAGGAACCTGGGCGACCCTCAAGTCCCACAATGGTGACGGTACAAACTGGGATGCGATGGGGTGAGGTCTCGGAAGTGGCGGGAACCAGCAGTGGCAGAGTGCAGACTCAGTGTGTCCCAGGTCCTCCTGATCTCCAGCTACGTGTTCCCTTTTGTCCTTACTGCTTTGTGTAGGGTCTGCCCATCTCTGGGTCCTCAGCTTTCTGTCTTCCCATGGTGACCCCACCAGCCTAGAGTGCAGTCTGAGGCAGCCCCAGCCCACAGCTGTCCACCTTGCAGGGAGATGGGGGTTTGCGGGGAGACCCTGATTCACGTGAGGGGTTGAACAGAGGGAGCTGAGAGGCGTGCCGCTTCCCCGATCTTCTTCTTCCTAGCTGCAGACCTGATCGACCCGAGTTTTATAAATGTCTGTGATGCAGAATCTCAGATTCACATCTTCCTTCCTTGAGCAGGTGTTACTTCCTGATGACAGAGAAATCCTAAATTTCCAATATTTCCCCACGTTTCCAAACACATTATAGGTATTGATAGAGGTAATGAGAATCAAAGGAAATTTTTTAGCATTGGTAGGGATGAGATTCGGTGGTGGGGCACTTGCCAAGCATACATTGAACTGTGTTGCAGAGAGCAACACAAAAAATGTATCATCTTAATTATTTAGGTGCTACCACTGCTCACAAATAGACCATTTATGTGAGGCCTTCTCATAGAGTTTAGAATGCTGAGAAAAATGGAGGAGATGTTAGTATATTAGCAAGGGCAGCTGAAAGTGTCCCTGCTAAGGACAACTTCCAAAAGGGTCTGCAAGTTACCACACTCGAAGAAACACTTTGAACTCTGGCATCTACATGGAATGTGGTAAGAATGGAAAAGGAGAGGAATGTCAGCTCTTATAATTGCTATAGTACTTGTACTGTTTGTAGACATTGTTTTAAAAATTGAAATGCTGATTGAGGTGGACTTTATATTAAAGCAGTACTGCAGTTGGGGGTAAAGCCCCAGAGTTAAGGTCTGCAGGCATAGGAATGGTTTAGGATGAAAGGGCTTTCTGTTTAAGGAAGAGTAATTGGGAGAAGAAAGTGCGAGAGGAGGGCACACGGGAGGGTTCAAATTCAGCACCTCCAGCAGACAAGGTCTCCCTTGAGGTTCAGGTTGTTCTGAAGTTGACATAAAGGAGGGGTTGTGTGCTGGCTCAAATTGAGAATGGGTCAAAGACCACAGATAGGAAGGAAAAAGGGGAACTTATTCAATGTTAGATAAATATGTCTTCTGTTATTACTGATTAGGCAACCTAGTCTATTTATTTTTTTGGTACCGGGGATCGTATTTGTAACCTTGCGCTTGCGAGGCAGGCGGTGGAACCACTGAGCTAAATCACTGGCCCAACCTAGTCATTTTTGAGGAAATTAAAAATTATGGAAATTCTTGGCCTTGTGGGCCTAAAAGTTAGGTAGACACCATCATCTAAGTGTGATGGGAGAGGATTTCTTCAGGATCCAAAAGATTGCAAGGTGCAGTTATCTTTTTATTGTACAGGAGATAGAACTCTGGACTTTTGTTCTGATTTACATTCCCCACACCTTTTAATTTCCTTTTTTTTTTTTTTAAGTTTTGAGATTTGAGATCTGCCCTTACTAAGTTGCCCGGGCTGGAGTGAACTTTCCATCCCCTTTCACCCTCCTGGAATCCTGAGATAACAGGCATATGCCAGAATGTCTGGCTAATAGGTGGATCCTTTAATCACTGCTACTAACCAGGATTCCAGTGCTTGGGTAAATTAGAGATCAGTGACACATGGTGGTGCACACCTCTAATGCCAGCCACATGGGAAACAGAGACAAGGGTGTTACAACACCAAGTCCACCCTGGACATTTGAGCAAGACTCTGTTTAAATATGAAATAAAAATACAGGGGACGCATCTCCTCTCTAAAGTAACTTGTATAACACATACAGGTCCCTGAATTCAATCGCCAGAACGGAAGAATAAAAGAAAAAATGATAACGAATTCAGTGGAAAACTGAATTTGACTTCAATTGTATAATTTTTTCACATTAGTCGTGTGTGGTACAATACTTGTTCAATATGCTGGGCAGCAGCAGTGAGTTACTGGTTTGTAAGCAACAAGATATCAAGGGAAAATAGCCAGGGATTTACACTGCCCCATATTCAATAAAGTACATAAGATTTTTATTATTTTATTATGAAATAGGCTTTGTGCTGAAAAAATGTTCTTGACTATATATCCAGGTAATTGTGTTGAGCAGTTTCAAAGGAGCCAAGGGTCAGCATGATGTTTGCTAGATGAGGTATACATTAGTGCATTTTCAGTATATTTTATTTTTTATTTCCTTTCGGTTGATGAAGATATTTTTTCTTGCTAACCTAAGCCACATATGTATACTTATTGCTTTGGCTCTTTGTAAAGTGCTCTTCTCTAGAATATGAAACTTGGCAAATTGTTTCCTGTGTTGAGTGCAGTGTTTATGAGATTATTCTGAGAGACTGAGCTGCAAGAACATTGTGAGCAATGTTTGGATAAGGGAGCAATACTCTAGGTTTTGTTCTCTGATTTTGGTTTTGTCTGCTTGGTGTGCCTTGTTATTATTTTCCTGCATTATAGACGACACTCTGGTCATACTGTCTGATTTGCTTCACCAGGACAAGGGGATAGGACAGAAATTGTCAATGAACAGACACAGGATCGTTAGCTTGACCGCAAGATGCCAAGCTTGTATGATGCTGAAGAGAATACAATTCCATTTTTACCATTGTAATTTATGCTGATTTTGGCAAACCTTCTGTTTTAAACTTGTAGAAACTATTTGGATTCTAACTCTGAGTTTCTTTCCCTTGTCCTCCCTCTATGTCTTATTCCCCCTTAATGGGCTGAAGACAGGTCTGCCCAATACTGTCACCTCTAAGACTTCGGGCTTCCTCCCCTTTGTGGTGACTTGTATCTCAGAGGAAAGAGGCGACACTGAGCCTGTGTTATGTGATTCATAGTTGATGGAGAGTACAGTCCTTGAAATCCCATTGACGCCTACTGAATTCCCCACTCTGCAGAGAAGTCGCTTGTGTTGGTAACTTGTAGAAGCCTTTGCAAATGGCCTACAGAGAATGGCACAGCTGAGATAAAGCACTGAGCTGTAGTTCAAGGCACCCCCTAATCTGGCCTCTACATCTCCCCGTGTGTCAACGTGGACCTCCCAGCAGAGGAGCCTCTTCAGGCTGCTCACTGTAGTGGCATCAGAAAGGCAGCTCAGGTGAGGAGGACAAGGCCAGAGAGTGTGCAGGTACAGACTCGGTAATTTTGGTAGAGCTTAAGTTTGGGATGCAGAGCAACAGATGGCAGCTCTTGGGGTCTTCTTGCTTCGCTCTCTTCAGGACACCATGTCATTCAGGAGGTTGTGCATCTCGTGCATCTGCTAAGTCACCGATTCAGCCACCAGTAATTCCATACTTCAGAAAACGCGTGGATGTAGCCTAACACCTTCTTTGCCTTTTCCACACTTATGGGAAAGTAGGCTTGCCTCATTTTATCAGAGATACAGATTCTACATGGAACATTCTCTTTCTTGCTGCCCTAGAACCAGATTTGAGAAAATGCCATAGATGCTTAGGAGCACTTTTCCTGGTGCATAGAGTGCATATCCTTTTAAAGTCTTAAATACACTATCCATACTCCCAACCCCGGTGAGTAGGAATTCTATTTCTCATGAACAGCACCAGACTTTTTCTAATTAGTCGAATTTGATGGATTCACAATGCAATTCATTTGCTTCTATCTTTTATGTCTCCTTTTATTCTTCCTTTTTCTTCTGTAAGCCTTTCTGTATATTATCTGCTTATATCATGTGCTTATATTTGTGATGAGGATACTTTTTCAGTAAAAGCTTCTTTCTCTCCCAGGTGTTTGTCACTTGTAGAGAATGAAAATACTTCCTTGTGTTTTTTTCTTGTGCGTGTTAAGTTCTTCAAGGAATTTCTTTGCTGAATGGAAATTCTAATTCTTATGCTTTTTGTATCTTTTCAAAGTCACCTTTACATTTGTGGCTTCACAATTTTATTTCTGAAGTTTTCTTCATTCCTCTATTGCAAAGGCATTTTCTTTTGCTTCTATTTTTGACAGTTCCATATTCCATATTTTTGTTTTACATCTTCCTGGAGTGCAAATTTGAATGTTTACAAAAACCAAATTACTTGGCCCATAAAATGAGCAATTTGTAACCGTTAAGGATTCCTCAATCACCTCTTCCTCTTGATTTCTACTGCCAACCTTAACAAATCTGTTTAAAATAAAGCAGAAGTATTTTTTGATATTTCGTATAAATTTAGTGTGTCTCCATGTTGTTGGAGGTTCAGACTTAAGTGACTTAATTCTATACCATGTTCTGAACAGTGGCCACTAGTCTGTATTTTTTTATTTCAAATTTGAAAAATATAGTGCTATCCTTTTTCAGAATGATTTTTGTCATATTTATAGTTGATACACCGGTATTATAAGTATAGTTTTATTAAGAGTGTATTTTGAAGAATTTATAGCATATTACATCATCAAATCCGAATCTGTACATTAGACTCTGCATATTCAAATCATCTTGTCCAGGTCTCTCTTTGTTGTTGTTTTGAGACAAGTTCTCACCACATAGTTCAGGCTGGCCTTGAACTACTGTGTAGCCCAAGCTGGTCTCAAACTTGCAGGGGTCCTCCTGCTTCCGCCTCCTGAGTGCTGGGATTACAAGCATGTGCCACCATGCCTTCCTATCTAAGTTTAAAATAGTTTGTAATATTTTTCTCTCTGAATATGGTGGAGATTTTAAAAGAATTTTTTGATATTGCTTTATAAAAATAGATACATAAATGCTTGGTAGTGTGAGAAATGATTTCTAGGTGTCAATGAATCTTTCCTTTACAGTGATATGTGAGGAGCATTTTCTTGTATAAAACCTACTGACAGAAATTGACTGAAGAATAGAATATGTGTTATCTGCTTTCAAAGTAGACATTAGAACTTTTACAAAAATTGATGCAAGTTC